CAGGAAGTTGTATGTTTGCTGCAGTCAGTCACGGGTGCATCCATGTGTAGACAGACAAGATCAATATTAAATAATAGTTATTTGACTGCACCTTGCAAGAGAAACACTTCTGGGCACACTGCGTATGGTTTCTTTTCCCCACCACTCATGCATATGGCTTCAGGATACAAATCACACACTGAAGATATCTCCAAATAAAAGCATCTATAAGAGCTGACAGCTGGTTTATGGGACATTTGTAAAGCTTTTCAAAAACCATGCAACTTTTGAAGTTTCCAGGCTTCTTTTAGCACTTGATCAATAGACCTACCAATAAGGTGAAGCTGTGTTCAGGAAGAATCCCATACTGTTCAACAAGCTTTGCTCTCTTCACACTGGGAAGGTCAGGAAGTCTCTCATGAATCCAATCAATATTTACCACTTGCTGATAGTTCACATTAGCTGGCAAAGATTTTGCATCGTACAGAATCAATGGAGGAAGGTTTGGCTCTGGCATGAAGCTAGTAAAAATGCAAACATCCATTATAATTATTTTCAGTCAGAAGTTAAACAATAAGGAATAAAATTTATATCACAAGTTTATACTGACCTGGAAGTTGTACTACTTTTTCAACTAAACAAAATATTAAAAACTCATGACTTGCTATATCGCTGTTAAGTAGTAAGAGAACAGCCTCTGCAAATCCTCTGTTTTCTTTGAGTATTTGCCACTGATTATTGAAGAGTTGATGATGGAAAAGGGGTAATTAAAACACTTTTGCACCCCAAATAATAAAAAAATGCCAATAAACCCAGTAAGAGTACATATGGAAACAACTCGCTCCTACTGGCATCAACCATGAATTGTGGATCTGGACGAAATCAGGAGTTGACTGGCAGGGAAAAACCCAGATTGACAGCCAGTGGCCAGGAGTGATCTGGGCAGGTTGTAACCTTTTTCAGACTAACTTCAAAAGTCTTGCTTGAAATCCCACGCTGTGCTAAAAGCAAAGTCACTGTGCTCAGCAGGGTGCCGCCACAGAACAAAAGGCTCCCTTAAAGAGAAGGGCCAATTCAAACCACTCAAATAACTGCAATTGAAGCAGAAACCTCGCTCTTACATGATCAAATGAGGGGTTCAAAAGTATCAGAATAAAGGACATTGGGCACCCTCTACATTTACTATAATAATTTCTATTTCAAATCTGCCTAAACATAGATTTTAAGTTTAAAATACCATGTGCAGCAGTAAGTCAGAAAAAAATCTCAAATCCCACCCCAGTTTAATACTGATAATAATCTTAGTACTAGTAATAACCTTTATGATCTTTATTTGAAATATCTCAGACTCCCCAGTTTTGCCTAGGCTTTAATGAATTTTCTTTTGCATTTGTTTGAATTAGTCTTGTTAAATAAGCCTCATGCAAGCTGCTGCCATAAGAAGGAATTCACAAAATTATCACTGCCTTTGCTGCTGCATTTCTACAACCAGTAATTTAAAAAGTAGATTTTAAGTTTGTGGGATGTTTTCAAATCCTTGCTCTGCTTTAGTAAGATCAGTGATAGAATATATGTAGATTTAACAGGAACACAGATATGGCAAAGCTGAGAGGCTCTGAAAGTTCTCCTACAGAACTGTAATTCAGCTGGGAAGTGAACCCAAGAGTAACAGGAAGATTCTCTCTGGGATGCACAGCTAGGGAACTACTGGGAGAATCAGGGCTAAGTTGGCTCTAAGCATGGGAGGAGGCAGGCATGCATAGAACAGGAGAAAGGGTGCCCAGAGCAGTGAACTACATCACTCTTCCCCATCCCATCCAGACACCATTGTGACTGCCTGCCATGCTAAGGCACTAAGGAGCTGTGCTGCTGCTGCTTTGCAACACTGCCCCAGCAACTTATTCCCAGCAGAACCTTGTCTCCTCATCATCTGACTAAACCCTTCTTGGGTGGCTGTTTATGGTTTGATAGCTGTCATCTCACACTGGAGAAAGGCAAGAAGTACTTAGCAAGGTTAACATCTTCATTAGGTCTACAAAGACCTTAGGGTAGAAACCTGCCTAGGAATGCTGACAAATTTCAATAGTAGTTCAGATTTTCAAACAGTGACTGTGACTTATGATCACTGAATTTAAGCACTGAGAGGCAGGGCCTGCTGTCTGAAAACCATCTCCCTTGGTATTTACTTAAAGAGAGAACAATACTTAACTCAGAATATCCTTATGGTTTACGTCAGCCTTTCTTGAGAATACTCTTGTACTGGCCACAAAGTAAACTTTCAACTTACCCACTCTGAGGTACATACTTAGGTTTTAGGAAAGGTCTATGGGTTTAGCAGAGATGAGACAGAGTTCTAGATCTGAACAGACTAGCACTGATTTTGATTGGTCTCTTCCCTTTCCAGTGGAAGGTACACTTCCAATATGTGCTCACCATGCTGACTATCTTTACATGCTCATTACATTGACTACTCTTAAGAAATGATCCCCTAAATTATCAGTTCCTGAAATGTTAACTTCATTTAGTTAAAAAAAAAAAAAAAAAAAAAAAAAAAGAAAATATTACCGATAATCCTGTTTTCCTTCTTTGTCCCTCATTGGTACAGTGCACCTAAAAGAAAACCAAAACAAGCAAGATGTGGCAAGAGGTACACCACAGAATCAGTTTTACGGCAAAGACACAAAATAAAACTTCGCCTCATGAAGATCAGAAGAGCTTCTTGAAGCCACTTCACAGAACGTGTGTAAGTAAGAGGGCAGTTATTTTCCCGCTTGATGCAGCACACAGTCTGCTGTGAAAAAGTCTCAACTTTAAGAATAAATCACTACCTGTGAGGAAACTGTGCTTGTGAACATTAGCTTTAAAGGAGAGAAGTTGAGCAATACTACATTACCTCTCCTGATCATGTCACTAGGTATTCATGCACTCTAAAGCTGCTATTCCCGATGTTCCTCCAAAATAAAAACTCACCCAAGCTTAGAATCAAAGGCTCTTGTTTCATTCAGAATAGTTCCTCCATTTTCAAGTTCTTCAATTTGCCTCTGTATTTCATAGTCTGACAGAAACAGAAGACAAAAGAGTAAGCTTCTTATACTGCATTATTAGCTTTTGCACACTCCACAATTTCATTTTTCTCTGTTATGCAGTAACAGAATAAGTTTGTTGGTGTAACCTTAACAAAATCAACCGCAGTAGTTACAGGCAGAATTATCAGTCACTGTGTCTCTCTGCAGAACTGCTTCCTTCTTCACAAGTTTCCCTCATCTTCTTTCATTCCCTTTAAATAGAAAACATTTTCTCTCAGGCATTGCAGCCAAGCCATCCATTCCTAGTGACCTTCCAATCACCTAGTTGAGTTTCCTTTTGGAGATGCAATAATTATCCTCTCTTGCTCATAACCAAGCTGCATCTGAACTTCAGACACCACCTACCATACTCAATGGAAAGCAATCCTCTACGTTGGGAGGACACAAAGCTACTGCTAAAATATTTCAATAATAAACATGCTAGGCATTGAATCATCTGCTTTATTCTTCTTGTAGGCAGAGGGCTACCTCGGTAACAAAATCGCAGACTAACATGGCTGCTATCCCCAGAGTACCTCCATACTAAAATTTATTCTGTCAGGAAGCAGCAAGAGCAGGGCTGCTCCACAAGGAGGGATAAGCCAGGAGCCGAGGGTGACCACAGCACAGGCAGAGCCCTTGCTGTCTGCTGCACTCCCACTAGTCTGAACAGCATGGGCAGAGGCATGTGCTACCAACAGGCTCCAATGACAGTCTCAGTCAAAGTGAAGGGATGAGCTGGGTCTAGGCTCCATCCACAGAGTGCAGTCAGAAGCAGCAGGAGGTAAATCCAGAGACAGCACTGTGAACAAGACTACAGAAAGGTCCATCAGGAGACAGGGCGGAAAACTGGCACACCTGTGCCAAGTCTAAAGACAGGCCAAGTCTAAAGGCCCCAGCCTGAGCTTAAATGGGACTCCTGGACCCACAGGCAAGGTGCATGGAAGGGACACCCACACAAAGCTAGTCATGGCATTTGAGACCAACTACTGCACTCAGGAGCCTGACATATTTCATGTCAGACCACATAAAGTATCTACAATACTCTTTTTAATGAAGCGACTATCATTTACCTACTGCTTTTGCCAGGAATCGTATGCTATTGATATTCTTCACTTCAGTCCTCACTCCATAAGGCTCTCCAGGGTGATGCACAGAAACATTGGCATCCACTCTCAGCTGACCCTCTGTAAAAGGAAATTTTATCACCAGAATAGTCTGTCCTGTAAACTAGACTAAAACCCTTGGCATGCATTAATAAACTGCATGTTATGTGCAGAGCATTAATAGCAGACTTCTGTATGTTCTGAAAGGAGCACCAACCACCTCATCAGAGCTTTCTGTTTGTGATTCCACCTCAAGCCACTGCCTCTAGTAATTCAACATTTTCTGAGAATACTGTTTTGTTTTTAATTATTGCTTATAATTCCTCTCAGAGAAAACTGCATGCTGCAGTGCAGATCCTCTAAGCCATACAGTGAAAAAAGCTTCTGATTCACAGCTCTTAAAAAGGGAAGAACTAGACAAGCAAGTGGTAGATTGTGAGCTTCCATTCCTCTAAAACAGCAAAAAACCCAATCCTTTTGGAATTACAATTTGATGGGTACATAGTGCACTAGCATGGAACACAAGAACCTACAGTTACATTAAACAGATTTACTAAGGTGTTCTTGGAAATTTACAGCTCAAGGACAAACTGTGAGTAGCAGATTTTTTTTGTAATTTTCTTTCTCTCCTCAAGAAACTGCAATTCTACCCCCACCCCCAATTCTCCTGCTTGCCAAAACCTGAAACTGAATACAAAGTTTTATATAAAAGCATCCTGCACTTTTAGTCCAAAATGGACTAATGTGAAATCTCTAGAGATCTTTAATGACTCAACCTGAAGTAACTCATAATTGTACCTCTCTAAGCTTTGTCCCTCTAAAGACATCCCTTCTGAGAAGAAAAGGCTTGCCACAGATGATCAACTGGTGGGAATAAACAAACGGGAGAGGTTGTATTAAAAAGAATCATTATTTTTCCCATACTGCACAGTGAACATGTGTAGCCTTCCTCTTTAACTTTATTTCAAATACAGCTAAAAAGAAACAAAACACTTACTGTTTAGATACAGTCGAACTATTAAAGAGAGCGCAAAATAACTCAGAGCTAAACCTGTGAAGATGGCTACAGCTTCAGAATCCATTCCAGTCAATAGATGTAAATTGACTAGAGGGGTCTTGGTACACTTTGCAAAAGCAGGCTGGATGATAGCACACTAATTTCCTCTCATTGAGTCTTGCCAAACATGCAAATGAAGGACAAAGGTGCTGGAATAACCCAGCATCTCTTTCAAGAGAAGTGTTTTGCATGTGCTCTCTCTTTGGGGTGAAATGAGTACTTGTTCCAAAAAAGGAATAGTCTTGTCCTGCCCTTGCTTCATTTTGAGACATGACCTCCTTCTACTTGGATGTAGGTGTCAGTGTGACAAGACAATAAAGTTAATCAGGCATAAGTGAAAGGAGAGCCAGGCTCCAAATGTTCTTAAAAAAGCTTTTTTCCTTTAAGCCCACTTTAAGCCCAGCTTTTTTTGTTTCACTTTGCAATGAAATAATCTTTTCATCTGTTAGTTGTTAACGAAATAACACCTGATAAAACTGGGCACTGAACACAGAAGCAGAATGAAGGTAATAATGTAAAGCCTTTATCTGAAAGAAAGTAAATATAATGAGGGAAGACTACAGTAGAAAGCCCCTAAACCCACCACCTTAAAAACAAAAACAACCAAAACCAACTGAAAAAAAATTCCAATTACTTTTAAAAGCCAACTATACTGGAGGAAAAATATTCCCTGAACTGGAATTGTCCTCCAAAGTCAGAAATCTCACTGTGATAAAAGATATGATAGTGCAATTCCAATGGCAATCTTAGGGCCAAATTCAGTAGCAATAAAAGATGGTATGCATGTCCATGAAGGCCCTTGAAGAAGCATGCAAACTGGCTGCTTAGTATTAACAGCTGTGCCCCATTAGACATGTGCAACACTAGTGTGAGAAAAGATGCAAAGACATAGATAATGTGTAGCAATTATTATTTCCCCCCATATTAAATTAGATTTGCATCACTAGCAACATTTATTGGATCCCATTTATTGCGTGATACATGGACCACCCTGACTCGTTTCTCACTGTGGGCTGAATTTGTTGCCAGAACAGTGAGGCCAACTGTCTCAGGCAAAAATACAGCTTACATTGTAAACACTAATAGGCAGCTGATAATTGGGTGTATGGGTGGAGGGGATGAATACCCAAAGCTGCTCTTTTGGACTCTCAAGCAGAAGCCTGCTATTTGCTAGCTGTAACCATGGGCTGGTTGTAAATTTTGATAACATCAGTACTGAGCAAAAATGGTTCAACTTTAATCCACCAATTAACAGACAGACATGAGACAGAGACACCAGTTAGGAAGCTGATCACATGCTGTGCCTCTGCACATCACCTATTCCAAAACTGGGGCCTTAGGGTTCCAGAAAGAAGAGCTAGTGCCAAAAGCAGGAGTTCCACAAGAGGAAGTGGATGCGGAAAGATAGTAGCAATCTTGGCCAAAGAGATCCTGGAGGTGGGAAAGGATCCCAAAGATCCGAGAGATGCAGGGGATGCCTAGCGACCTTGGCTTCTAACATCTGATGCTGGTATCTCCAAGCCTGTTGCACAGCATGAGCACAATTTTCTGGCCTATCTCCCCACACTAGCAGTGATCTCCCTGGTAGGAAGAGAAACTGAGAACCAGTGAACATAATGCTGGAGGGGAGAAAGGTTGAGTGACAGTGTGAAATGATCAAGTAGGGTAAAAGCTGCAGTCTCGTTGGTTCTTAACCCTGGCACTCGTGTCCACTATGCACTGTCATTTACTCCATCTCACCCATGACACCAGCAGAAGTTTACACCATTGCCTACACCATTCTATGACTAGCTGAGACCTGACACAACTTACAAGATGATCCATGTTCCCACTACATTGTCCCATCCTGTAACTTCCATATTCTATAACTAGTCCTTATTACAGATCTGTGTGGAAGTGCTGCAGCAAGCAAGATGAGGAAAGACACAGAGAAACGCAACCCTGGGGGTATTCCTTCCTGCCTACACTTATCCTGTAAAAATACTGTGTGAGGCAATATAAAGCCTAGCACTGCAAAGCTCTGCAGACAAATGCAGGCCCGTAAGGACACCTGAAGCACGGCAGATATTAGGACAGGCCCTGAGGATTGTAAGAACAACAGATAGAAAAGGCAATGTGTTATAAGCAACCACAAAGCAAAATAACCAGAAGCTGCAAAACTCCCGCAAATGCAGAGAATTACTGGTGACAAGGGAAGATGCCCTTCCCCCGTCAGTACCTGCCATGACTGCGTGGCTGCTCCCAAGTGTTTGAAGAATGAGCTGGAGCTCTCTGACTGCTGCAGCTGCTTCTTCCCCACAGCACATATCAGGCTCCATGACAACCTCCATGAGGCCGACTCCTATCAGGGAAA